TCGTGGACTTTCTGGACAATGGTCCTATATAGTTCTTCCACCGGAGCTGGTCTCAGTGTGACTTGTTCAAGGAAGATGCGCATTCCTGAGAAGTCTGCACGGCAGAAGTCTCTAAACCACGTTTGAGGTTTGGGATTTCTGGCCCAATAGCAGGTGAAATCAAAGGTTAGCACATAGTGGTCGCTATGTCCCAGTGGAGCGTTAATTGTTACCTGATCAACGAAGTGTCTTTCGTTGGTGATGACCAAATCCTCATGATGTTTTCTGGTCCTTTCTCACCATGCAAAACAAAGGCATTCGCTGAGTCTCCTCCAAACGACATATGGACGCACTTTTCATCATTCAGAGGAAGGTGCCAGTCCAACGACCACTGCTTGGCAGCGTCTACATCCATTTGGAGGGCACTGGCATTGGAACTGCAGGATCTCAAGTCGTCCGCAAAAAGTAGACATGGACTCGCAAGAACATCTGCGAGGTCGCGTAGGTAGATCAGAAACAGCACTGGTCCCAGGACGGAGCCTTGAGGAACTCAAATGGAGACCGGCGCTGGAGAAGAGTAGGTCGTCTTCTCAGCGAGACCGGCGCTGGAGAAGAGTAGGTCGATACTCTTCTCAGCCGTTCGCAAAGTCATACTCGGGTTCGTGGACAGCCACCTACATGAAGGTATTGAATGAGCCATTTGAGTTTCCGTGGTAGTTGCGACTGGGCAAAGAGTCGTTGTTACAACTTTGTATATATTTAAAATTGCCTCCCATCTTGAATGACTGTGTAATATGCACGCTATGGAAGCACCAGGGGACAGTGATTCTCCGAAGGCAGGTGTTCACGACAGTTTCTGTGGATGGAAAACAGAAACAAAGATCATGAGCCAAAGCCCAGTAAGCAAGGTTGTACATCACCAATACTTACATATGAATTAATCAAACTGACAAACACCTTCCAGGTTAACAGCTCAAATGGACCGCCCTTTTGGACTGGTATAGTTGAATCCTATTTCAGTTTCACAGGTCAATTACATTTTTCCGCTTTCCTTACCGCGCAAATCGTTTTTACGGCTTCGGTTATACTATTTTTGTAAGCCAGACCTTCGTCAAATATAAATTTGTTTTAATGCATGAGTCTGCGGCCCGCTTTCGATCACGCGTTTATTGTTGATCCATATCGGCCTTGGTTGCCTTTTGGAGTACCTCACCATTTGTCCAAAACCGTTGAGGTTTGTAATTTTGTACTCCATGTAACTACTTTCATTTTTATAGTACAGTACATTTGCGTAGCCATTCGTTCGGAGTCTTGCCGGTTTGGTTGCTAACCTTGGTGCTCGTTGCTGAAGAATTCGAAACGGTCGTTACCGTCGTGACAAATCAAGACCACCATGGATCAAGAATATTAAGTTCACTGAAGGCGCTGCCTGCTTCATTAATTCTATTCAAACTAATGAATAAAACGGTCGTGTTTACATTTGGTCCCAAAATGGAAAAAAAAGGATCAAAAGATCTGCCAGAGGCCACTTGATGTAAGTTGGACTATAGTGTTGCATAAAGGCATCAAAGGGTGAGAATAATTTTTGACCGCTGCAGTGGAGAAAAACCGCAAGATTAAAAAACGGTAATTGGTATTCCGGTGGAGATAGAATGTACGCAGTTGATACGAATATTAGGGCTCTACATTGGCTACAATGTACGCAACTACTGTGGTTCGCAGCATGGAGGGCTTTAACTTAGATGAGAGCGTGAGCCGCATGGTGATGTTGCATTTGTGCACAATGAGGTTCCATCTGGATTGAGGCTTCGCAAAACGAATTACCTTATAGAAGTCATACCGTGTGCATTTAGTGAGTCTACGCTAGCGACTTTTGCTCTGCTGTAGATGTTTTTCTAGAGTCATGGGAGGAATGCCTGGGAAGTATGCTACATCAGGGGCAAGCTCAAGCCAGCAGCAAGAGTAATCGACAAAAGTTGGTTTCAATTTAGTTCCATCTACTACAGAAGGCGGAGTGCGAGACTCGGCATACAGTAGAGAACGTCTTTTGGGAAGAGCATGCAGTTTGAGTGCGGTTTGTCATCCACGCAGTCTAACGCATCGTCGGGGAGAGAATGAGTGGACGTGGTACAGAAGAAGCTGGTGGGTGTTCAGTGCTGGACAGTGAAAGAAGATGCCGATGAAGTGGTGCAAGCTTGGACAGGCAGGCAAGGCCCACTGAGGTAACGTATTAGGAAAAGTCAGGGTTCACCGACCACTTGGGGGGCAAAGGCGGGGGTGTTGGTTTTGTGGCGATGTATGTAGCTTGGATGACAGTTGAAGGATATTCGTTCCCTGACAATGAGACAAAGTGGACTCTGTTCCTTAGCTAGGTGATCATCATTATCCTAGGCAGATCGTATCAAGTGTGCTTATCTTCGTAGCTCATCTATTCGGATGTTTTACACCTGACCGTGGATTCACGGATCCACGGGTTCGCAGGGCGATACACCGGATCGAGGCTTTTGCCCGAGTTCCCCGGGGCGAACTTTTTCTTGACGTTCAGCGGTTGTCGTTCACCTGAAAGGCACAAGTGAAAAAGGGTGTAACACTGCCCTTTATGATCTAAGCGCGGGGCAGTATGCTTGCCAGGGAGAGGATTCGCATAAATAAGTGTCATAGCGTTTTGAACTTGGTTCTAGAAGGAGCGTGGACAACCGTCGGAGGAAGGTCACTCCACGCACCCACTACCCGAAATGAGAAAAAACTTCAGTTCAATGAATGTGTGCGCTATGAGCTTGAAGGTCTTCTTACCCTGTCCTTTTAAATAGCCTGCTGACGTTTGACAACCGAGTTCCTTTTCCACCGGACACTTTTATTCAGCAAAACGTCTCAAGGGAAGAATATAAATTTATCGCCACTTAGATTCTAGGCACAAAGCGTGGAATATCTTATGGCCATAACGACGTAATCCTCGATTGCCTGGTTAACTGCGATGACGGGAAGAATGTTATTTATTCTACTTCACCGAAGCTGGATAATTTTGGACTGTAAATGTAACTCACTCGATTTCTAATCCCAGAACATTCTGTCTTTGAAGACCGTGGGAGTGGGGTTATTTCACAAATACCTACGGCTGGATCCCGCGTTTTATGGCTTGAGACACCCAACAACTGTCTTCCGTTGCACTAAATAGAACAATCGGCATTCAGTACAAATGTGGGAAGTAAAGTTTTTAGGAGCCATATGCGCATAGTTGGATGGCTGTGGAAAGTGCGGCCCCTCTTTTAGCTTTGAAACACTTCTCCTCGGACCTGGAGACCATTGAGCTTAAATCTGCAAGACAGGTGGCAACGTGAGATGAAAGCGTCCTTAGTCCTGCTGAACGGTGAAAGATCTTTGCTAGCCATTGGTGCGTGAGAGACTTATATGAGTATATTCATATTTCGTTTTTTAATGTAGAATTACGGGCTCAGCATCACAGCATCTGTCACATTTTACCGAGGCGAAATGAAGCCCTGAAGGTAGAAAACCATCAGCATGTACTGCAATGTGTCTGACGGTGCTTAACCTGCTGAACCTTGAGGAATGTACATTCAGCCAGAATTATCTGCAGAGTCGTTGCAGCACGCAAGCCCGTCCAGTGGGACGTGATGATAGCAGAGTCGGATGAGTGGTTTGGAACATGCCCTGAAGGCACTTGTGTTTTCGGGAAGCAGATAAAGTTGCCATCACCAAGTGATCCCAGTACACCATCTAGAATAGCAGTAAGCTTTCAGCCTGCACCTCTTGCTCTTCTAAAAGTTGCGTAAAATGGTTTAAACCGCAATATTCCTGCGAAACAGGATCCGCCGGGTTTTCAGGGGTCAGTGGAGACCCATGACTTGGCCGCGTTATTTGGCCGATTACTTGGATGCACATAAATTAATAATTATCTTCCTACAGGAGAAAGATCAGCCCCCGGCTACGAAAAACTGGTGCGTGCAAAGCAGCCACATGAAGCGATCAGAAGTCGTACGCAAGGTAACCGTTTTGGAAGTTGGCGTCATCATGTGATCCGAATACGCTCTGTAGATTGTGGATGCCTAGTTTGTGTTTCACACCAAAAACTAACTCCCCTTTTAGCTTGCTTCGGTTTACCGAATTTTCAGCAAGATTGCGGCACAACGCTTACTAGAGTTAAACCGAAGTTAATGTCGCAGAAATTACTCGGTTTTCGAAGATGTGAATATCATTGGGAGTTAGTCTAATTAGGTTGCACGTTTCAGTGATAGGTCGCTTGTGGCATTTTGTTTAAGCGAGGACAATTTTAAGGTCATCCAACATTGTCGATTTGCATGTGCAGTATGCACGCTATGAAAGCACCAGGGGACAGTGACTCTCCGAAGGCAGGCGTTCACGACAATCTCTTTGGAAAACGGAGACAAAGCTCATGAATCGAAGCCCAGTACGCAAGGTTATACAGCACTTATACTTACCTATAAATCGGTCAAACTGGCGGACACCATATACTGCGCATGTGATTACTATTTTACGAAAGAAATCACGGATCAAATCAAAGCATGTCTCACCGTTCTGCAATATTGTTCGATTTGGCGAAGATTTCTACGGAATATGCATCTACTTTAAGCCGTCTGGATTCCTGAATAACGAATGTATGCGTTGTTCGCCAAACTTCAGCGTAAGGCTGTTTAACGGGAGGCTCACCACGCGTTCAGGGTACACACTGAACACTGATACACTGTGCAGTAGTGATGGGATTGTGCACCACTGTGGATGATTCCCATTCCCACATATAGGCAAATGGTCAGTGAATAATACAGTTTTCAGAAAATCGCATGTAAACTACCAACATAAGGATATATTTCTCACTGGAAGTAATGACGCCCTTTAGTTGAAATACGCCATGAAGCCCGGAAATGTAGTCGAAAAATAAGGCCAATTATTGCCGTTTGCTTGCCTTCGATACTTATCGCTACTGCTGGGGTCATGTCTGCGCGCAACGCTGGTTATGGGGCCTCAACTGCTCATGACGGGCTAGTCCAGCGGTCAACGACGGTTGTCCATACCAATACATTTCGTCTGTCTGTCATGCACCCTCTTGGAAATTATATAATCGCCTTTGGAGGATGACATGTTTTTATTTACTCGTTGCACTGAAACAAACCTTATGGGCAGCCGCTCCAATTCTCGCTTTCTGGAAGGCATCCTCATTTAATGGGGATTCTGTAAGGAGAAATATACAGTCAGTCACATTTCTTGAGCAAAAACTTTCAAACCTCTTACTGCTGCAGTTAGTCCCTGTGATGAACGTGAATGATACTCCATTCATTGCTCTATTCATCATTCTCTTGTTTTAATATTCCATATACTGTACATATACGCCAGTTCGAATACACGTGTGCTGGTTGGTACGCCAGCGGCTAGACGCACAATGTATTTTTCTGCAAAACGCCTGCGGACGAAATAAAAACTTTAACGTCAAAATGTTGCACTTCTTTGCATATATGCGTAGACTGAAAAGCCCCCTCATCTGCCGTTATTTTTATGCGATTTGTTTTAATCGAGACATTTGAAAATTATTGGCGCACATTCGGTATTGGCGCACATTCGGCTTTGAACTTCGTCTGCTATGGCTTGGGCTGGACTGTGCAATTCTTTAAGCTGGGGAATTTTTTGCGGACTGGCGAACTAAGCAAAGGTAGAACGAAGCCGACATTAACTCGCAGGTTTTCTGGTCCGTTTGAAGATCCTGTGGATGTGAATCATAGGCCCAGTGGAACGGGTAGCAGCCAACCAGGTCCTCCAAACCGGGTATTGTCGAAGCTCAAAGCTTGGGAGGTTGAGGGAATTGGATGAGGTTAGTTAAGCATGATGAATTTGAGAAGACATCAGATGAGATAATGTAATAATAATAATGTTTATTATCAATTTCTGGGTGGTATACCGTTTGGCATGACCAGGCGTTCACAGTCAGAATGGGGCATGACTGAGGGATTCGTGGGCAGTGGGGGTTGCGCGAAAAGAGGACAATGTCATAAATAGTGGGAAGTATTCGATGAAATAGTAATATGTTTCTTTCGCAACTTGTAGAGAACACTGGGCATGAGGTCCGACTATTTCAAAGACTCAGTCAGCTGACATGAACTAAAACTGGGAAACCATTGCTGGCCATGTGTGACCTCGGGCTTTTGGGTAAAAGGCCGGAGTCACAACGAGAAAAAGTGGGGGTGGAGATCGGATAATTCGAATTGAGAGAACATAGCACGTTTAGCCTCAAAAATATGATGCAATCTGAGAACACGCAGACTCACTGGTTGCACTTTTGAAGGAAAGTCAGGTGCAGGGGTTAGGTTGAATGGGGACACAGAGGTGGTTGAATTTGAACGAGTAGTCCAACAGGTTGAAATGAATGTCATGGTGGTCGTTGAGGTCAATGAAACGAGTAGGCAAGAGGGCACGGTTAAGAGGAGGAATGGTACAGTTGCGGGTGTGCTATCAAGCTGATTATGGCAGTGCCGTGCCATCATTGGCCTGACATGCTTCAGTTTTTGACAGCCCCGTGACGGACGTCACATTTGAGATGATTCGACTTGGGTATGCAGTTCATTGAGCAGCGACATTCATTTTAGCCTGGTCGAGGAAACAAGGTTGAACGAAACCGATATGGGATTGTAGGTTGTCTTGGTCGTTTGGTGATCCCGGAGTTGTAGATCATAGGTCGGGTGGGTGGAGATCAGCTAACCAAGTCGTCCTAAGCGGGCACTTACGAAGTTTAAAGCTTGGGAAGGTGAGGCAATGGGAGGAGATTTGCAAAACATAGTGGGTTTGAGGGGATATGAAATGGGATACTATGCATTTATATACATGGAAAGAAAAACTTGGCGTCCGATGCAACTAGGGTAACGACAAGTGATTACATGGGGTAGGAAATAGATAAATTTGTACATAGTAGACTAGTGACCAGGGGCTGGTTTTGCTGATTTACTGTACTATATTACACGGGATCTAGTAAAAGCCGACATAAGCGCGCAAAAGCGTGGTATGGGAATCAGATGTGTAAGGCCTGACAGGAATGGACTTCTGGTCTGACTGGTTAATCGAGTGTTTATTACATGAGTTGGATATATACCAGGTGAGAAAGTGTGTGCTTAAGAAATAGTCACCAGTCCCCGAAGCACTGCTAGCAGCTATAATCTGTAGGTGATGCATAGCGATGAAGACTTTCGTGTCTACCACTGGGAGTGGTGAGTAGATGTATTCTCTGTTTGGTTGACGGAATGGGCTTTGGTGCGGTGTAGCCTCTGTCCTGACGAAAGCAGATACAACTATGCTCGCCGATGTAGGTCATGGGCATTGCAGGGTATTTTCAGGCTATCCCAAGTGATCTTTTATTTTTCTTTCTTTTCTTTTTTTTCTTTTTTCTACAGATGAGAGTCCAGTTGCATAACTCCACCGAGGAGAGCCAAACTCCAGCAGCAACAAGCAGAAGTCAGCAGTAATTTTTTCTGGTGCCTAGTGCGGTTGTGATCCTAGAAACTACACTACCAACACCTAATAAATTTTTCTCACACATCCGGTCAGCCCTCCTGCAGCCTGCCAGTTGTTCTGTCACAACGCCGTTCACTTTATGTAAATTGAAAGCGATGCAAATAAGGGACGTTTTTATGTTCTTTTGTGAGGTTTACAATCGACGCCACTAGACCTAGAAAAGCACGCCGCGTATGTGTGTTGCGCTGCACCGCTTACAGATGAACTGAGCACTAAATCAAATTACCTGGTTGGTTTTGGTAATCTGTTGGCAAAATGTAGGCAGGTATTTAGCGATACAGCAGTGGTTATTATGAAATAAAAGTCGATACTTATCATCCCTTCGAGGTGCATCAAGATTGTGCCGAAGGGCGAACTCAGTAGACCTGGATGGGATTGATTTTCTCACATCAGGGGCGAGACTTGGATGTAGAGGTGGGGAAACAGTCGAGAAACGGCGATTCCTCTGAAGCTGGCCCCTTGTTAACCAAAACACGTAGGGTATTTCTGCTCTGCGATTCTCAGCTGGAATAGGAATTCAATGTGCTCAACCTTGCCTTAGGGTCGACAGATTCCGCTAGAGGTGAGTTGGTCTTCAACAACTTTAGTTTTGGATTTTTGTGGCTTTAACCGTCCAACGATCAGGCCTCTGCACCAGCTAGAAGCGCGATCGTGGGCTACTCAGTTGCCAAGTGAGTGGTTTACGGGCTATCTAAATTTACCTACGTATATTTTCCGAATTGAGATTAAACGTTTGAAGCTGCATACTTCATTGTTTACAAATTTTATTTTATTCTATTTAGGCTTAAATGTTTGCATCGTTGATTTGGTAAGTGGGCCAACATGATTTTTGTAGTCAAAGGATGATTCCCTTTTCTGAACGTTAGACAAATATGGGACATTTTTGCTTATCGGACAATACTTATCCATGCCACACGTAAAATGTCACATAATATGTTGCTGATAAAATCGTCTCCTCTTGCTGGGTATATCAGTGAAGCGTATTGCGAGTCGTGACTAGCAGAACGGGAAAGAGGACCTCCAGGTCCAACACTTACAGAGCGGTTTTATCACGATGCGAAATTTTTGAATTATGTCCAACCTCATAAAGCTTGGATATGATTCCGTTCCAATTTGAATATCTATTGACTTTCATTTTGTGCTCTTCACAAATTCGGTCATGTGTACAGTTCGCTTTCCACCGTATGAGTTAGCAACAACTCTTTTCCCCCAAGGAGCTTTTCCACCCGACTCCTGTCGAGTCACAACCAAGTGCCATCCTGGCTCTCTTGAGTCGCTTCATAGCCCCCTGGTGGTCGGCCGGCTCGTTGAACTCCGCTGCAAGGACTTTCCTCGTGCAGGACCAGTCCATCTTCGGAGGGCCCCTTATGGCCTCATCCAAGGCCGCCTTTGCTCGGCCCTTGAGGAGGGTCTTCAGCGCCGCCAGCTTACCCCGGTATCAAGTCCAGCATCCTACGTTGATATCCGCTTGTGGTCAAATGCATGACTTTATTGTTGATACTGGTAGTGTTGAGTCCATGATTCCACAATCAGATCTAACTGCATTCTACCCCATTGCCGCGAGAGGTGTTAACATTCGCGGTATTACTGGACATTCTGTACCTCTTGTTGATAGTTGTGTGAGCCCTGAGAGGTTACGCCAAGGTACATCTACCGATTGTAATTTCTTGGTTTCAACGTCGGGACCATCTATTACCGGACTCAAAGTTCTACGCTCACTGAAAACCAGTGTAGCATCCGTTGTTAGATTTTCCTTAGTCTTTGTGGGGTTGTGAGTGTTCCGACAATTTAGTTTGAGGGGGGTTGAGGTCAAGTGGAATCCAAGTGATGACTACTCTTCCTACTGATGACCGCACACCAACACGTGTCAGCTCGAGTGACCCAAGACCGTTCTCCACACGCTAGCCAACTGGCCACGCTAGCCAACTGCATCCTACCCCAGTGCCGTGATAGTGCCTACATTCGCGGTATCACTGGACATTCTGTGCCTCTAGTTGGTCGGTGCACAATCCCTGTGAGGTTACCCCAAGGTACCTCTATCGATTGTAATTTCTTGGTTTCAACGTCGGGACCGTCGGTTATCAGACTCAAAGTTCTGCACTCACTGCAAACCAGTATCACCTCACCGACTTCTGTGAATGAAAATGAAATCAAACAACCGATTCCTAAATGTCCTAAGCCTACAGGTGGCATGCAAATACCCACGAGACGAGTTGTTCCATTTAGCTTACAGGAGCCTGTTCGTCAATCGTCTCAACGAGTTCGTGCCGACTACTGTGGTCCTTTTCTCGGTAAATACTATACTTTAATCGTTGTTCACGCATATTCACGTTGGCCTGAAGTTTTTCTGACTAAGTCTCCAAGTGCCGAATTCACTCAGCAAGCACTGAGGAAAGTGTTCAGCCATGAAGGTCTACCAACTGTTTTGCTAACTGACAACGGCACACGCTTCACTGCAAACTTCCTCGAGGAGTTGTCAAAGGGTCTTGGATGTCGACATCTGTTTACTGCTCCGCGACATCTCCAGTCGAATGGACTTGCTAAATCTTTTGTCCGAACACTTAATTCTGCCATTATTTCACTTTCTCCTACTACTTTTGTGGAATTGGATCGTGGGATTGCTAATTTTCTAATGCAATACAGGAACGCCGTCCATTCCGTTACTGGGAAGTGTCCCGCGCTTCTGCTTAAATCTGGTTCGTTGCGTACAAGTCTTGACTGTGCCAAAACGGCTGATGTTACATTTTTCAAGCGTAATGATATATGACCTGCTACAGGAATGTTACTTTCATCAACTGGCAAACGAATGGTCACAATTCTCGATTTGGATGATCTCTCTTGTCATTGGAGACACATTGACCAGGTGGAGCTCAATACCAGAGGTCAGTCTGTTAACGGCACTCCTGCTGTTTCAAATACTAATGAATCCTTTGTAGATGACCTTATGGTATCTGAAAAAAACGTATCTGAAAAACACATTCCGAGAAGATCCGAAAGATGGCGGCCAAGACCACCACTGGACTATGAACATCCACACGCTCAGTCAAGGTGTGGCGGATCCGATGAACATGACTGAAACTCTATTCAATGCTCTATTCATTATTCTCTCGTTTTAATATTTCATATGCTGAACATATACTTCGAATATAATACATACGTGCTGGTTGTTACGCCGCGCTGGAATTTGTAGTTCGTCTTGTTATACCGATATACGCACGAAACTTAATTCCCACAGTCCCGCAATCGGCAATGAAGAATGCTGTGTGCACAGATGTCGAAATTTCAAGATTCAGTGATCGTACACATTAGTGAACTCAGTGAGATCAAATTTAAAGCAGGAGTAAGCTCAGGTGGTATAAACTTAAACCCTAGAATCCCCGGACATCATACGTCATCATATATGCACCCTTTGAAGCCGTAGCGACGAGCTGACTGGTGAGCGGTTAGCTGGTGCTTAATCTGCTGCTTTAGAGCACAGAAACTCAAATTCGCCCAAATTCCGCTTACACCAGTTTTGCCTCGTAGCTTAGTAAATACAGTCCGCCGTCTCCAACATAGCTTGTAAGCAATGCATACTCAACCGAAGTAGCACTCTCACCACTTCTTGAACACCGCTCATTAACTCCTTTGCTTGAGGCAGTACACCAACTCTTTTTCGATCTTCAGCATCCGGTTATAACTTAAAGGGCTTCCATATCTGAGGCATATCCAACACATAAGTAGCCACTTGCCACCTCAGGTCACCTCATGAGATTCTTTTTCATGTCTGTCACATGGGTTTTAATCTCCATTAACTCATCGTTTTTGCCAGTGTATTGCCATCCGCCTTCACTTTCACAATCATGTCTAAACATAGGCAACTAAGACAGATACACTCATTGCAACCTAACTTTCTCTACTAACGACGATGGTGGCCTAACTGGGGACTGAAAGATCTATTTTATCTCATTGCACCAGCAGTAAATATCCGTCAACCGCATTCAGTTAACATACGTCGTTAAAATTTCGCCAATTCTGTCTTTGTCCTCTAAGCGGTCGATGGATTCTGACTAATTATAATCCATCCTCTCAGTGCACCTCACATGCCATTGCACATTTGACCCACTTTTTCGTCTTCCGCTCATCCTCAAACATCCACCAATCTCTTCCGTAACACGTCTTTCATTTTCTCTCCATTTGGCTCCGACAGTGCTTAAGAATTCATGCCGTCCTCCAAGAGACTCTCCTCCATGCCCAGCCTCATATTCCAGCTTCTACCATGGGTTCAGACCGTCTTTGTTCTCCGTTTGCAGCTCTACCCTGTGTTGAGTACATCTCGATTGACCCTAAACATACGCCTTTAAACTCTAACTGACATTCAGCCGGCCCAACTCCTTGAATTTCCACAGCGTCGAAAAAAACCTCGGACGATTTCTACCAAATTACTGGTTAGAACGAGTAGTTCGCTATTAAAACCATCAATACGTTCAACGGTATTCACAGAAAATTGAAAAGAAAATAGTGTTTGTCGAAAGTGTGTCCCAGGTCTAAGCTTTCCCCGGCTGTTGCACGTATCCCAGGGAACCATCGTGTAAATCCAAGACATTGATTATGACGGATTAAAAAACATTGTCTGGTGTGTAAAATTACGGAGACCTACAAAATACACGCGGCTTGACGCTATGAAAGTTATTCGTTTTGTATAGCCTCAACCCCCTTCATTAGGTTTTGACTATGGCATGCTGAGTTCACGCCATCGTCTGAAAGCGCAATGCGACCACTCCACTCACGTTTTTATTCAATCGCTCATCCTTACCTGCTTTCAATGACCATTCTAGGCTTAGCTGGCGCTTCTTTTTGCAAAGCGCTTACTATCAGAAAGCCACCCATATCCCCAGTCGGTCTACTTCAGTAACCATGACTTGACCAATCAGTGGCTCATGACTGGTAACATATTCTTCTGCGGCTCTCCAACCCACCTTCTGATTGAGCATTGCTGGACCGTTCCATAATCCGTATAACCCCGTTCTTTGCCATAACAAGTGTTTAACTACCTACTATTTCGGGCCGCAGCTTCGTGGCAGCAAAATGCAGCCCTGCGCCCTTGTAGGACCCAAGAATATCCTTGATTATTGCCGGTTTTAATTTGTTACGATTCCTTGGGCAATCATATCCATCCGGACCACCTCAAACTGACAACCCAACAAGTTTATCTACGGGGCTGTGCAATGACTAAATTGCGACACCGTAATGACAGTGCTGTGACCGCCATACTCAGTCTGCTGGCTTGCCCGCAGTTCAGTAATTCTATACCATTTCCCGACCAGACGTGTTCCATGCGCAAAAATACTGTATCGTTCGGCTGTATTTGTGCCAAAACTTCGATGCGTGATCAACCACTAGTACTGCCTGCTTGCATTACCCACACACCAGTTAATTATTCCCATGGAACTATCAAGGCGTCACTATGTCAGTGAGGATAAAGCACTGCCACCCAGGATTTGCGTTAGTGTCGAATCAAAATCCCCACTGGAAATGATGTGCTGAGAATCATTCCAAGAAGCCTCAAGAGAGGCAAGTGGTAACTTGAAAGATTTTGCTCAAAGGTTTGTACGAAGAAAGAGTTATCTTCCCGGGAAATATAGGAGCTACGGTAAATGACTCCAAGAAGAGTAGGTTCGCTAACACACAGGATTTTTCAAACATGGCAACCCCAAAAACAATTGCACAGCTCTGTAAAAGAGGTCGGCTGGAGTGTGCAGGCTGGTGACCACGTACGAAACAAGGCTGGGTAACTGGAGTAGCTGTTCACGGGGATCTTAGCATCGAAAGTATCCAGTGTAAACCAGGTCTCCCCGCGATCAATTATGGGCGGTTGCATGGCAAAAAATTTGATAGATAGATTAGTTGTGAACAAGAAAGTCAACGCTTCGAAAGGTGAGATGGAGGGAGAGGTTTTAAGTCCCATAAAGTAAATCAACTAATTCGAGGTTGGCTTCCATACCCCAGCTTAAGGGAGGGGCTACGCAGCGTGCTTGCCTGTTTCGCACCTTGGCGATTCTAAAGCCGCTTGTTATTCTGTGAGGCTTCTTCGCCCTCTTTATCCGAAGCTATTGCTTTTATAGGAAACCTGGAGAGACTTGCTTCCGTAGGCGAGTATACCTTAAATTCAACAATAAATACGAGAACTGGCGAGGTTTGTGGACCACGGCAGTTGGAAAAGCAAGAGGTCAAGCAGCCCGAGGTCTCGTTTGTTACCCTTTCCCCGCAACAATTCTTCCTAAAGAGATTCTAATTAGCTTTGGAGACAGCAGCACCGAGGGGCGATTTTGCGAGTTTTAAACACGGTCGTTTTAGAAACTGATTTTCAGATGTACCAGAGGAGCCCTCATGCTTCTGTCCATTACGACGTCATAGCCATCCTTGGTGCAGCGTTAGAGAATGAGACTACCTTCTTGTTAGCCAAACGATTTGTTCGCAGAGGATTGTTCGTCATCAGTTTTGTCCAGTTTGCTACGCGCTTCGTTTTTGCACCTTTAAATGCCTTCATAAAGGTACCAGACTGCCTTTACCTGCCGCGAAGAAAACAGCTTTTTGCACTTTTTCTCCGAATTGAAATTGGTTTCATTGTTGACAAGTGCCTTGCTCATAGGGTGTATAGCTCCCTTGTGTCATAGTTTCATCACAAAACGGTTCGTTGTGGGCCTCGTCATGTTTGTGAATATACGGGTTCAAAGGGAAAGAGAAGAGTCATGTGACGAAAGTTCTTAATGCAGAGGTTACCTCTGTGCGTAAAAAGTCATAGCGAAACGCTTTGACTCAAAGAATGATTGGGACGACAAAAACGTTTGTCAAAGCGTTTGCACGATAGAAAAATGGAACAAATTACCGCCAGGAGAGATAATTCTTTATCCTCAAGTCCGCTGACAGTGTGACTCAAAGTCCGGCCGGACAAAAATGTCACATGCATAATACCAAGAAAAATCTAGCTATCTTCCTTCTTAATTCCTTAATGGCAACAGTGTTGAGTGGCGTGCATCTGATTTCCGCACATCATTTAGCAACGCTGCCCAAAACTATTCTGGATAACATGCTCCAGGCTACCGACGCGAAACGTGCTTCTCCAAACCCTCGTTTGCGATCCAAATATGGCTGCCAGTCACGCTTCAAAAGTGAATGAACCGACCCACGTTGTGCATTAATCATTCGTTTGTGGATGGTGTACGCCTGGTGGGCAATTGGACACGAGACGAAATGAGGACCATTTCTCATCAAGACATCCCAAACAATCTCAGTGAATAGCCACCTACTCCGCCGCGTTAAAAAAGCGTGCCATGTGGAGGTATATGTGTCGGCTGCGGTTAGAAATGCTTTGCGGGAAAATAGCTGTATGTTCATCAAACGTCGTGCCTGCTAATGGCATGGCGTGTGTAAAGTTGACACAGCGTAATGCCGCAGCTAAACAACGCTTTGGCAGCCCACATTTGTTACGGGGTTTTATTTAGTACAAACGACTTGGACAAGCTGAACAACTCTGCCACAAACACTTTGCATATGGGCGCAAACTGGTCGCTTTCAAAGAAGGCGTACACAACGGGTCGCCTGATCTCCACGCTACCCGCTACAAGAAAAACCTACAAACATATGGAATTCTCCTCCGCACTCAGAGAGAGATGATGCGGAAACGTAGTAACTATTGAAACTTCGATTTCGTGTCCAGGCAGATTTTTTGTACGTCCAAGCAAACAATGCACGTCTATGGCAAATTTAGTGTTTCAAATATAATTGTACATTCTCGAGGGAAATCTTTCCAGGTTGAGATTCTTTTAAGCAGAAATTTTGAGTGGATTTTCAAGACCTTCTTTTCATGATGGTTGATACTTCTGTTGTTTGGTGCCTCATGACAGTGCCAGGTTGATAATAATCGGAGAGAAAATCTCATCGATTACTCGTGTAAAAATAAGCAGCTCCAAATATCCCGGAGTTTCTCATGTAACCCGTTTAGACCTTCCCTCCCATGCCGTCTCGACATGTGGATCCTTGTTTTCCTATTGGACGTAGCCACGCTCTTTAGCCGTAATGCCTCATACAGCCCTACCGACTCGACGAAAATTAGGACTTTTCATTGCGGTCGTTATGATAGCTGCACGCGGTGTTGCCTCCCCTGTCTACTTTTCGTAACTGCTCGGGCCGCGTCTATGCACGACGCTGGGTATGATATCTTGGCTATGTAATCTGACGGCTGATGAACATGAGGCCTCGACTATATGTGACAGTGTGACTTCTAATCGCCTGGCGTGTGTAAAGTTGGCACAGTGTAATGCCGCAACTAAACGCGGATTTTGTAGATCACATTTGTGTCGTCATTTTATTCATTACGAACTAGTTGGACAAGCTGAACAACTTTGTAACAACAACTTTGCATATGGGCGCAAAGTGGTCGTTTTCAGAGATGGCGTACACGACGGGTCGCCCGATCCCCATGCTGTACGCTGCAAGAGAAACCTACAACCTATACCTACATACTCCAGTCCAGGTGTTTTAAAAGTATCTACCTAAGACAACTGGCGTCATGCGTGGTATTGACGTTGGCGACGTCTGAAAGGCATCGAAATCGAGCGATCCGTTGTGTGAGAGCAAAACGAATGTGGCCGAAGCGGTCGTTGACAGATTCCAACAAAAGTACACGGCCACATTCACGGAGCCTTGTGAGGAAAGATGGCATATCATCTAACCCAGTGAACAAAACATAGACAACAAGCCACCTAACAAAGGAGCTTGGTATTCAACGCGTTAGTTGGAAACATCACCCTTCCATATTTATCTACACCATAATACCACACATTCGATCATGGTGTTCCGGAATTCGGCAAGGCGCTGTCGCAGATCATGGGTTGGTGGACCGGGAGTCTGCCAAGGAGGGTCTCTCAGACCGGACTGTTTGTTCCAGGTTGGTGGGACATCCCCACCAAAGAATAATCATAAAATCGAAAATAAAAGCTTTATTGAATCAAGTACAGAATATCCTATCTATCACCAGATGTGAACTAGGTCTTCTAGTTGCGACGAATTCCTTGGTCCAGTCTAGTTGGGGCTGGAATCCTACTGCTAATGTGGAAAACTTTGTCATTTATACGCCGCGAGTGGGTGCTTTTCGAACTTGCGCATACAACATAACGTAACAACTCTTAATTCACTCTTTTAAAGTATTTCTAAATGCAAACAGGAAGGAAGAACGGTGGAGGAACCAGTTTTCATATGGAACCTCTCTTCGCATTTAGAGACCGATCACGCCGAAACATGGTAACTATTTAAAATGAGATTTCGTGCCTTGGTAGACTTTGTATGGTTTCAGACGAACCATGCAGGTTTAGGACAAATTTAGGGTGTCCAATCTAATTGGACATTTTTGAGGCAATTCTTTCCAAGCTTGGGCTACTTTTAGGCAGAAATTTTGGGTGGATTTTAAAGATCGGCTAGTGATATTCTGCTTTTCTTGCTGGTTATTTCTTTTGTTGTTTGCTGCTTCGTGACGAGGTCAGATTAATGAGAATCGGAGAGAAAATCCTATTGATTATGCGTGTGAAAATTTAGAATATGGACACAGCCTGGAGTATCTTTCCTAACCCGTTGAAGCTTTACCTCCCATCCTATCTCGTAATGTGGATCTTTGGTTTCAGATTGCTCCAAAGTTCTGGAGACCACTATAGAGAAGATGCGTAGAACCAAGTTTCAATGGGTAGCACTTTCTCATCTTGTACTACGAACGGTTTTCATACACAACGGACTGTTTCTGGTGGTACGCAGTTATCTGGACCTCATCATGCTGCACCTTCTTTAGATGAAACCCGAAACACTGTGCAAAATCGCCAGCACAGTGAACGGCTACGACATGTGTAGAGGAACTCAGGGAGCTCCTGGTCTAGAGAGACACAGAAGCTGTTAGACCTACAGATCGGCGTCTTCGCGGTCACCTCATTAAGCTTTGCACGCCACCATGCTGGACAAAGGTTCTTTCAGGATAAATACATTTGAAGTAGGAGACCGCACAGAGTTCAAGAGTAAGGCCTTCTTATGGACTAGTTATCTGGATGCAAAGATGATAACATGATTTCTGATCACTTTGGAAGGGATCAAATTGAGCACGCAGCTGGACAACCCATAGGCTCACACTCACTTGCCTTGTTTTTCTCTTGGATCTGTACTTATCGTTGCTAATAACGGAGTAAGCACCAAGTACCATCTAAAATTCAGTCATGTCGCTCGTGAAATTGCCGGAGGATGAGAAAGAGGTGAACCAGAATTTACATCAGGTGTCGCAAGAAGATCTATCACTTCTCAAGCGGATCCGGAAACGGAAACCAGAACGACTGGGATGCGAGTTCGCTGAGCGTAACTTCTCACAGGGTTTAAACCCCAAATTTTGCCTGAACTTTTGACGAGTCACATAAAAACACAAAACAAGTCAATAGTTCGAAATCTGTCAGGTAGGTTGCTAAAGTTTCAGGTCTCGAAATGCGAGTGCCAACCTTTCTAAAGAACTAATGAGTATATTGTTCTGCCGAGGTGTGCAAAATCTTAGTAGGTAACTTGATTTCGGTGAAGGAAATTTTCGACCCGTGCACTTTTTGTGCTGAGAGCTGCAAGCATTCAGCTAGCGCTGCCAATGCAACAGCTCGACCTACGGCAATAAAACGCTTGGGAGATTCCGTGCTGTATTCTGATCGCTATGTAGTCAAATAAATATTTCCTCATTTTCTTGAAAATCTGGTTACCTCAAGCCAACCGAACTAGGTCGTAAAGTTAACGATCCCCAGTTTCGAGAGCCGTTGCTTCTATGAGCTTGCCGTTGACATTAAATAGTGAGTTGATAATAACGTACTCACCACATATAAGTAGTCAAACTGGTAAATTAAATTTATTGCATCTTCATAGATAGGTGGCTCGTTGTTCCGGGTTGTTTTCATCACTTTGAGATCTACATCGACTTCCACTGAGCAAGTTAGCGTGATGAAATATGGAGATATGCCTTTTTGTAACTGAGGTGCTTACAATGACAGTGGCCAAATGTTCGCACCTTCGGTCGGCGATATTGGACTGCTACCATTTGTCGCTCCTCACTGTTGGACGGAAGAGATGGGACTTGGTACGTTCGTTCGGTGTGCAGAATTCGTTGGTTTCTTACCCATATATCCTGTAGGTAGTACACGTGTAGCCCAACTTATTGCTGATGCTCATAAAGATTTTGATGCGTCTCGACGCCCTGGTCTGCGGATGTGGCAGAATATGTATGATTGTTTGCTCTACTCTGGTGCCATCTGTTAACAGAGCAATAGTTAGCCGTGACCGTGTTATTTCCCTGGGCACTATTTCGTCATAATCTGTCTCTGCTAAACCACAAGTTCTTTCGCCTGATTTCATGACAACGCAAAGCTGTTTTCAGAATAAATAACAAGCAAGAGACAGTTAACACAATAACACACTTACGTGCCTGCTGCTCCATGCTCGTCAGATGACGCTGTATGAATATCTAACCATTATAGTCAGGGAATGCCCGAATGATCTTACCTATGACCGAACATAAAAACTGTTTCTGTAACAATATTCAGTTATTAGAGTGTTTTTCTTCACACAACGACCAATCCAAAATTGGTTTGGTGAAAAAACAGTTCCACAAGATTGGTGAAACTTTCTTCTGAGGAATCAACACTCGAGGATCAGGCCAACCAATACAAGGCCACGTGATGTGGTTTCTGTGACTGATGGATGAGCGGTGATATATTTTGGCTAACTGAGAGCTAATCACACTGCTTTTCAGCCACTCATCGCCGAACGGTGTCCCATCAGTGGTCGAAAAGCCGCGGGTTCAAAACTCTCTGAGTTGCGTGAGATGTGCACTGCTGGAGATTCGCAATATGGATAAAACAGATGTACGGTGCTTCCTGGCTTTTCAGTGTAGATCGGCGTCACTGAGAGGGCAAAATATCAATTGAAATATATTTCCAGCGAATGAGCCGAGAACGAATGGCGAAAAGTTTGAAAATTTACAAATTAGACACTGATAGTCCTTTCGAAAAGTATGAACTAAACAACATCTTTTAGCCAACCGGCACGTTAATCCAGGTTATTCTTGACTTTTTACTGTTTGGTTGCACAAACACAAGTTCTGCTTACTACAACGTAATTTGTAGGAAAAAAGAACACGTTTCTAACCTAGGAGCCGTGTAGGCTGGAGCACACCACGTACCGACGCACAACTGTGCTTGTTTTGTACTGTTCAGCGAGGCCCTGATTAGAGTGGACTAAGCATGTTGAACACTTTACTGGAGTTGAGTCAGTGGGCTGGTAAAACAAACAAAGGTTTACTTTGTCAAACATACAACAACAACACTACAATGATGACTCGTCACGTAGTGCGGATATGCAGCAAACTTGTGAACTAGTACAATTTCGAACCGAACCTCGAATGTACAGCGCCTGGTTTACCGATATTTCAGAGCAACTAGAGAGTGGGTTGAAGTTACGACTATGGCCTGTGAAGGAATGCAAATATGGATTGGGTAAACATTGTTTCGAACAAGTTAAGTCGGTGGACAAATAGTTGCCTATGGGAAGCACATTTTACACTCCTTTAGGACTTGAAATACGCTCATTTGCAAACCAATTTGATTTTGCGGGAGACTCATCTGGAACCAAGCTGAATCCCTCATTCATGATGTTTTCAAGTGAAGGGCAAAACCGGTCGTGGGCTGTCGAAGAATTTCTACCAACCTCATGACTAGTGCATTACGCATCTAGGTCTCGTTTAATTAGCTTAGTAAAGTGAAGTGATTTTTTCATGCTCTGTGGCTGCGTCAAAATGGTGCAAACTTAGTTCGTCTCTTATCACCTGAGGTACAACCATCAATCCGAGACCGAGTTTCAGCACGGTGGTGTTATTTTGTTAATTTATTTTTCTCAAGGTTCTTGGTTAACTCTTTTATACGGCCAAGGGTATGCATTCCAAGTGAGGGAGAATTTGTATTGGAACGAAGAAAGAAGATCGCAAGTTCACGCGTTGACAGAAATTTTACCCCTCCCCCAATAGAAACAGTGGTACACTTTGCTTACGTTGAAGTGCATTTGATTTTTGTGGGGCCGGTTCGTACCAATCGATTACAGTTTTCACCTTGGTGGTAACCAGTTTTCACGGAAAGCCCAATAAGAAACCTAAAGGTATAACTATAAAGTGATATCGTTGCGTGGGAGACCGTTCCAGGTAATAACCTCTTTACCACCCACTGTTTTTTTCTTGACGGGGACTTATAGCATGATAATCTTTAAAGCCTAATGATGATTGTTACGTAAAGACGTAATATCCCATAATCACACGCAACCAGGCATTCATAAAATGGTGGTCATACACAGCAGTACTTCGAGGTTCGTGCTCGCTCATTTGCGAAAGAATCGCATTGTTGCTTGATTGCGATAATCGCTGACTTATGTACTCTTCGCATCACGTCTGAGTAGACGTACAAATTTCGAACTGTGACAAAACATGGCCTAAAAGATTTTTGGGTTATGAGCCATGGTCTGCTTGGGACAAGTACCTAGTGACCAACAATCGAACTTTACGCCTGCTTGTTTCGTCAGTCCCTATCTCTCTTTCAAATACCTCTCTGAAAGCCCCCACTTATCCATTTGTGAAAACAGGATTCTGTTCGCAACTGCACATGAACGACGTACGCTGACATTTCTTGAAGTTCTACCAAGTCCATATGGAATG